GAGAGAGAGAGAGAGAGAGAGAGAGAGAGAGAGAGAGAGAGAGAGAGAGAGAGAATGGAGGGCCACACCCGACTCTGGTAGAGAGTCTGATTTCCAGGTTCAGCAGTGACTGGCAGGGTTAAGACTGGGGTCCCTGTCCCCAAGTGTTATCACTTTCTCACCCTCAGTGCTCAGTAGGAGGAGCCAATGACCGGAAGCATCCTTCCCTGGGGCTCTCAGGAACAGAACAGTGATACTCCACCAATATGCTTGAGGTTTAACTTCTCCCAGTTCTAACTCCATGCTCCTTTCTCCCGAGGGCACAGGGCTTTAGTAAGGGGAGAGTGCTTCCTTTCTTCCTTTCTTCAAAAAATGTTCTGTGTACAGAAGTGGATGGCTTAGGTATAATTCACTGGCATCTCCTGAACCTGCTCATTTTACCTCATCCTATCTACCTCCACCATCTCAGCCTTTCCCTCCATCATTATCCCCAGAGCTCAGGCCATCCTCAGCCCGTACTTGGACTTTCCCACAGCCTGTCCTCAGGTCTCCTGGCCCTTGTCTAGATGTATTTTCCTCACTCTTGCTGTAGGAGCCATGCTGGCCATTTCGCCTGCAAACCGGATGTCATCACCTCCCTGCCTGAGCTGATTCTGGCCATCCTGTCAGTCTCGGGATTACAATGTCAGACTTTCACATTGGACTCACTTCAACTCCTTTGTGTTATTGCCACCTACCCGACACTTTTACCAATCATGTTCCTTCACAGAGTGGCCACACGTTTTCATACCTTTGTGTATACATTTTCCCTCTGCTTCTAAATCTCGGCCCTTGAGCATAGTAGGCCAGTACTTTCTGACTGAGTTTCATACCCACTCTTGCTTTGCCAAATTGTCCAAGCTAGCTTCAGTGATCTCCCCTCTCAACCTCCCATGATTATTATATTAATTGCCTTTCTGCTGGAACTTCTTATGACCTGAACTTTTGTTTTTCTTTTGGGGGACTGTGTGCATGCGTGTATGTGAGTGTGTGTATTTGTATGCATGTGTGGGTGCTGTACATATACTTGCATGCTGGCACAAATGGCCCCAGCTATAGTTGTTGGGTTAGAAGAGGTAATACTACTTTATCATTCTCCACTTTTTTCCTTTCTTGAAACAGGGTCTGCCATTAAATCTGGAAGCCAGGCTCACAGCTAGCAAGCCCAAGTGATGCTCTTTTCCCACAGTACTAGGGTTACGGCTCCTCAGAATCAGAGTTAAGGACAGTTGTGAGCCCACCATGTGGGTGCTGGGAACCAAGCCCATGCATGCCCTCTGCAAGAACAAGTAGTTAAGTATCCTTAACCACTGAACCATCTGTCTAGATCCCACACCCAGGTTTACTGTGGGTGCGGGGGATTCAAACTCATGTCTTCTTGCCTGCACAGCAAAGTGCTCTTACCACAAAACCATCCATCTAGTTCAACAGGATCTTAACCTTTCAGCCCCTCAATGCAAGGTTACAGTGATTCAAGCCTTTTGGGAACTGGACACAGTACTCTAACCCCTGAGCTACATCTCTAGTCCTCTTCTTATTTATTTATTTATTTATTTATTTATTTATTTATTTATTTATTTATTTATTTATTTATTTATTTATTTATGCTTTCCCTGATTCTCTCAGGGAAAGTGTTGGTCTTTATATTTTGTAGTGCTGTGGATCAAACCACAGGCCTGGTACACGCTAGGTAAGGACTCTAGTGACTAATTTCCCCTCTCCCTGAGGGGGTTTAAATATTTGTGTATTCTCCCTGTACTGTGAGGAAGATGCCTACTTCTCTCTTCTAGCACTTATCAAAACCTCAGATCGAATAAATATGGCTGACTGAATGAGCAAGGACAGGAGCAAGTCTATGAGACCTTGGTCCTTCGTCCAGTGCTTGAAGAACCCATCAGCCTCAGCCTTACTCACTAAGAAACACGAGTTCAGTGTTGTAGTGTTCTCCAGGCTGTGCAAGGCCTTGGGTTTGACCTCAGCACTCACTACAGAATCAGCAGCAGAAAGAAACAAGAGAAATAAGTATAGGAAAAAAATCTAGGTACCTCAGCGGGAAGAAGGCTGGAGGCTGTTGTTCCTGAACCATTTAACATCCTTTTCTAAAAGGAGATGTGAAGGCTGGGGAGATGTTTCAGTTAGTGACGTACTTGTGCAAATCTGAGGACCTGAGTCCAGATCCCAACACTTACATAAAAAGCAGGCATGCAGGGAAACTCCCAGGAATCCACAAGATGACCCCAGCTAAGACTCCGAGCAATACTGGAGAGGGTGCCTGAACTGGCATCTCCTGTAATCAGACTGGTGACTACCTCAATTGTCATCAGAGAGTCTTCATCCAGCGATGGAAACAGATGCAGAGACCCACAGCCAAGCACCGAGCCAAGCTCTGGGAGTCCTGTTAAAGAGAGGGAGGGAGGATTGAATGAGCCAGGGGGCAGGGTCAAGGTCATCAAAAGGGAAGCCACAGAAATGACTAACCTGGGCTCATAGGAACTCACAGAATCTGGACCAACAGCTAGGGAGCCTGCCTGGGACTGACCTGGGTCCCTCTGCATATGTGTGACAGTTGTGTAGCTTGGTCTGTTTGTGGGGCTCCTAGCAGTGGGATCAATGCTGACGCTTGAGCTGGCCTTTGGGAACCTGTTCCTCATACTGGGTTGCCTCGCCCAGCCTTGATATGAAGGAGGACCTTAGTTCTACCTCACCTTGATATGCCCTGTTTTGTTGACATCCATGGGAGGCCTGCCCCTTTCTGAACAGAAAAAGAGGAGGAGTGGGGGCTGGGGAATAGGGGAGGGGGGAACAGAAGGAGAGGAGGGAGGGGAAACTGCAGTCAAGATGTAAAACAAGTGAAAAAAGTGTAATTAAAACAAAACCAGACAAACAGAACCAGACATGGCAGCAAGCATGTGCAACTCCATCTCTGAGGAGGCAGAGAGAGGTGGATCCCGGTGCTTATTGGCCAGCCTGCTCAGCCCACGAGTAAACTACAGTTTCAGTGAGACTCTGTTTCAAAAAGTAAGTGGTGAACCGTTAATGAAGCCACTCAGCATCGGCCTCTGACTTCTGGGTACACACACACACACACACACACACACACACACACACACACACACACACACGATTCAGGTTCTTAACATGGCTTCGCAAAACTAGCAGTCGAGAGGAGCAGCACAGGGGATTGGACCTTTGGTTCTGGCCTCCTCCGCCCGCCCACACTCAGGGACGTTTGGAAAGAGTTTGTTCACAGGCTTCTGTCAATGGGTCTGTTAACAGGTAGGGTGCCAGAGGGTGGTGCCGTGTGACTTGAGTCATTAAAACAGATGGTGGCCCACACTGTGTCCATCTGAATGTGGGACTCAAGGGTCCTTAGGGTCATCATCTGTGAAGTGAACTCAAAGTCTTAATGTTCTCCTTGATTTAGGAGTTCTCATTGCTTTTGGAATCCAGCCCGGCCTCTTGGAGACTGAAGATCCCTTCTGAGCTGTCCCTGCCTCCCCTGAACTTCCTCTATTCCTCATACTGGAGGCATCTGGCCTTTTTCTGCCCCTCGGACACATCACATTCTCAGGCTCTCGAGGCCTTTGTTTTGTGTCTTTCCTGGTTGGAATTATTTCCCTCAGGCTTTCCCCAGAGCAGGCTTGACATGTGCGCAAATGTCACGTCTTCAACCGTCTTCCAGGTCCAACTCAATCGAGCAGCGTCTGCCCTCCATTTTCTACCAGATGGCCTTTGAAATTTTCTCTTTCCTTTTTTTTTTTTTTTTATCTTTTTAAGACAGGATCTTATGTACCCCAGGCTGCCCCCAAACTTGCTAGGTGGTAGAGGATGACTTTGAACCTCTGCACCTCCTTCCTCTACCTCCAGAGTACTGGGATTACAGGCTACCACATCTGGTTAATACAGTCCTGGGGATTGAACACAGGGCCTCAGGAGTGCTGAAAAAAAGACATCATCTGAGCTACATCCTGAGCCCTCTGCGTCATTTCTGTGTGCGTGCGTGTGTGTGTGTGTGTGTGCGTGCGTGTGTGTGTGTGTGTGTGTGTGTGTGTGAAGGCCCGGTGTTGATGTCTGGTGTCTTTCCACCATGTGTATTGACCCAGGGTCTCTCACTGAACCTAGAGCTCACCGTTTGGTCTAACCCAGCTAGCCGCTTGCTCTGGGGAGTCCCTGTCTTTCCTCTGTGGTGTTACAGGAGGGCTGCCACACTCACTTTTACCTGGATCTGAGCTATAGTCCTCACTCTTGTACTGCAGAGGCTTTACCAACCAAGCCACCACCCCATCCCTAGCATCTTGTATTTACCATATTCTTTTTGAAGAAATATTTTAATTATTTTTTGAGCATTTCATATAATGTATTTTAATCATATTCACTCCCAGCTCCTCCTCTTATCCCTTCCCAGATCCACCCCTACCTCTACAGCCCCCCAACTTCATGTTCTCTTTTTTCCCCCTTCTTCACCCCTAATCTAGCTTCTGACACATGGTATATACCCCAGCTACTCAGAATCCACCCTTTTCTCCCTGTACAGCGAATCTTTGTGTCTAAGTGTTGGCTTCCTCTGCTGTCCCTTCCATTTGGGACTCCTTTCTTCTTTAACGAGTTCAGATTCTTCCTTTGGATCCAGTTCTGGGCAGGTCTATGGGTGGCTTCCTTCTCTGCCTCCTGTATGTTTTATCTGCGCCACTGTTCGGCTCCTCGCCTGGATTAGCTATAGGTTCACAGACCTGGCTTTCTCGTCGACACTGAGCTCTGTGAGGGCAGACATGGTGTGTTTTCATCTCGTGCACTCAGGAATGGTGGCTGGACCTGCCACATGGCAGTTTTTATTGTGCTTGGTGAAATCCTCCAAATCGCATATGGCACAGGCAGTCTGCAAAGCAGCATTGTAGGTGTTGGAGATGTTCATTGTTGGTCAAAACACGATTCCCAGCCGCATGTTTTTATAACTTAATTGAGAACTAGTCTTTTCGTGAAAAACACGAAATCCCAGTGTTAGACAGGCATAATGGTATGTGCCTTTAATCCCAGTAGTCACAAGGCAGAGGCCAGGGGAATCTCTGTGAGTGTGAGACCAGCCTGTTCTACATAGTGAGTTCCAGGCCAGCCAGAGCTGTAAAGAGAGACCCTGCCTCACAGGGGCAAGCTTAGCGGGGCGTGGGTAGAACCGGAGCTGTCAGCACACTGGTTTCTAGTTCAGATGATTCACTACACGGACTGACAGAGTAGTTTCCCTCTCTAAACCTCAGTTTTCATTTCCATTAACAAAGGGCTTTAATTAGAAACCTCTGATGATTCCCAATGCCAGCAGGGCTCTGAGTAGTGACTTTGGCTCCCTAGAAACGGTGTGAAAGAGGCTGTGCAGTCTCTGTTCGCCCCCTGGTGGTCAAATCGTGACATCACGGTCCTGGGAGACTGGGAGATTAGGTGATTGTTTCCAGGGATGGAAGGGCAGAGCTGAGACTAGCCACCAAATAGTGAACAAAGAACCATCCTCTGTGACCATTCTAGAACAGACAAACCACATTCATTGCTGGTCACTGTGCTCTCTGTTCTCGGCCTTTAGCTGAGCCCTTCTTGCATCATTTTATTCCCAAGCAGGAGCCATTTTCTTCAGAGGCAAATTCTTCCGTCAGTATTACTATCTACGCATTCATTTATGATAAAAAATGGTTTCACTGCCTCTCACACTGGTCCTGAATAGGGCCATGCCCACTTTCTTTTGGGGCCTTGGTCTATGCAAAATGAAGCTAGTAAGATTTCTTTGTTGAGGTTTTTGGAGGCAGGCTCGGTGAGCATTAAACAGGTGAGCTGAACTATAATGCGGCAGATACTAGCAGAGAGAGGTATGTCTCTAAATATCTTACTTGGAAATGGGGTTGGGTAGAGTTATTCACTCATTTTCCTCGTATTCCTTCTATCATAAACCCAATACACACTTATTAAAGCCACCTCTGTTCCTTTAAAAACAACAACTATAATATACAATTCTATACTCATCAAATTGTGTAAAGCATAAACCAAGCTTGGGATGGTGTGTAATCCCTGCTCTGACAGGAGGGCTGGTGTAAGTTCCAGGCCAGTCTGGGATAAAGTGTGAGACTCTGTCTCAAAAGTTAAAAAGAAAAAAAAAAAAGAAAAGGGAAAGGAAATTGATTGCTTAGAATCACAGAGTCTAGGAGGAAGAAGAGTAGGGAAGAGACAGAGTCAGGAAGAGGTAAAGAAAGGAGAAGAAGCCTGTGGGGATGGAGATGGGGAGGAGGGATATGAGGGATGGAAAACAGAGACATAAATATGCCCATTGTACAGGCTTAGCTGAGACAGTCGCCTTATGGCTCAATATGGTGCATGCTACACAGTGTAAATTCTCTGTAAATTCTAGTTTTGTTTGTCTAAACCACTTTTTTCATTAAAAAAATTTATGGTTATGTGTGTTTTATCTGCAGTACATCTGTGTACTACATGTATGCCTAGTGCTTTCAGAGGTCTGAAGAGGGCACTAACCCTCTGGAACTGTAATTGTGGGCATTTGTGAGCTGCCATGTAGGTGCTGGGAATTGAACCTGGTCCTCTGGAAGGGAGGAAGAGAGAGGAGAGAGAGAGAGATAGACAGAGAGAGACAGAGACAGACAGAGCAACAGAGAGAGAGAGAGAGAGAGAGAGAGAGAGAGAGAGACAGAGAGAGAGAGAGAGAGAGAGAGAGAGAGAGAGAGAGAGAGAGAGAGAGAGAGAGAGAGACAGAGTGACAGAGACAGAGACAGAGACAGAGACAGAGGCAGAGAGATCCCTGTAAATGCCAGGCTTGCCCGTGGGGTCCGACGACATGGAGTCAGTTCTCTCCTACCACATGGGCTTTGAGGGTGGAGCTCAGTTCTTCAGGCTTGCTGCCCCTACTTCATTCCCCCCAATTCTAGGCGCATCCCCAGCCTTATGTTCTTCCCACGTTGAATGCTTAGTCAGATGCTGCCGCACAGGCTGAGCTTGGCCGCCTCCGTGCCTCGGCTGTTTCCTCTGCCTGCCTTCCCTCCTCTTTACTGGGCGAACTCCTCAAGGCAGAGCTGAGCCCTTCCTGACCTCACTTAGGCTCTCTGCTTCCTTAAGGCCCTGTGGATGCTCATCACACTGCTTCTAGTTTTGCCACAATTCTTTTGTTACAATCATTGATGCATACGTTCGCCTACCAAAGGGCAGAATCCAAGTGTTATTGGGTTCATAGTGTCTGGAGGTGTCAGATGGCTTCAGAGCAATAGGTGGAGGGATTGGCTTTGTGAGAACTTCTGAAACCAAAGGAAGGGAGACAAAGAAGCCACCCAAAGGGAAGAGCAGGGCACGAGGGAGAGCTAAGGGATGGGTTTTCTCTCCTGCTAGCTGTGTGGGTCTTTTCTGGGCTGGTGTGAAGGGGACCTGGCTCTGCAGAGACAGGGCCTTGTGCTGTAGACTATTATTTTAAGGTGTTACTTTCGTTCATGTTGCATTTGTTTAACTCTGTGAAGCTGTGATACTGTGTCTGTCTAAAACACCTGATGGTCTAATAAAGAGCTGACCAGCCAATGGCAAGGCAGGAGAAAGGATAGGCAGGGCTGGCAGGCAGAGTCTAAATAGAAGGAGAAATATGGGAGAAGGGAAGAAGTAGCCAGAGAAGGAGGACATCGGGGGTCAGACACCAGGCTACACAACCAGCAACGGAGTAAGAAAGGAAGGTGTACAAAAATAGAGAAAGGTAAAAGCCCAAAGGCAAAAGACAGACGGGTTAATTTAAAGTTAAGCAAAGCTGGCAAGAAGCAAGCCAAGCAAAGGCTGGACATTTATAATTAATAAGCCTCTGTGTGATTTATTTGGGAGCTGGGTGGTAGGACCCCTAAAAGAGCAAAACTAACTGACAATAGCCTTGTTTCCACTGGGAACCATGCTGAACGATTTTAGGTCACAGTCCATCAGCCCAGGAGAGCAAAGCTGGGGTCACCAGCCTGAAGGGAGAGCAAAGGTTTGCAGGGGTGTGGATGAAGAGGAGGAAGAGTTTTAAGGATAGTTCACGACTATGTGGAGCTGTTCACGTTGGGGCACTATGGCGGCCATGCAGTCTTCGGCCTGCGTGAATGGGGTAGCAGAGTGAAGGAGGAGACTCCACTCTTGTTCCAGTTAGCATCCTGCACTGAAGTGAGTCTATGGGTCCCACTTTTTCCTGGATGTCTGCGGAGCCAGTGAGATGTCTGGGGGATGAGAAAAAAGAACATGGCCTGCTACTATACTGCTGAGGCCAGAGCCCGGCCCTGAATCCTGCTTTCACTCCAGCAACGTAGGCTCAACCACCTGCTCTCAGCAGGCCAGTTAAAGAGACAGTAACCGTGAAAAACAGACAAAAATGTATTCAATGTGGCCACAGTGGGAAGAGGAACAAAGAGGTCCGTGGGCCACATCCCCCTCCTCTGGCCAATCCAGCTTCTGGGTCCTAACATGAAGCTTGGGTTTAAATACAGTACAAGGGGCATGTGGAGCTAAGCAGCCGTGGTCTAAGTGTGCTCTGTTGTCTGGGCTGGAGTGTCTCCCTCAAGGTGAACAGACAAGCTGTCAGTCTGTGTGAAGTCTCTTCTGAGAGACAAGTTCCTCCTCTGGCCTGGCACCAGTTTCTAGTCTTTTCCTTCTCCCAGGACTAGACGTCCAGGGCAATCTCAATTCCATGGGGCCTGTGGCTTCCATGTTTTCAAGCGTGTCTTTAGAGTGTCTTCATTCCCGCCAGTGGTTACATTGTTTGGACTTGTTCTGTTCCAGAGAGTTGGCCTAACCTTGTTGTATCGTTTCATAATCTGTAAAGCATCCTTAACAACCAGTCAGTCTCTGATGACACTTCAAAACAAGCCCATGTTTTGGTAGGAGAATTGCAGGACAAATTACAGGAAGTGAGACTGGCTTAAGGAAAAAGTGAATGAAGAGGCAAAGAGGCCAGGCCGCTGGTACCACAGCATAGTCCTTACCTCAGGAACAATCCAGTGTGGCTACCATCACCACGGTAAGGACACCACCCCTCCGCCAGTTCTCACCCAAGAGCCCTTGCTGTTGGATACCTGCTGTCTTTGTTGCTGTGAACAATTCGAAATCTGTCATTCACTGAAGATTCAGAGTTCTGGAAGGCGTGACAAGGAGGCGGAGCCCAAGCCCTGTCCGGCCCTCTCTGGCCAGGGAGGAGTTAGTTGCTTCCCTATTTCAGCCTCCCTCCTCTTGTCAGAAATACACAGAAAGAAGGAGGCATTTCCCAGCAGAAAGGAGGTTTAAACGGCGGCAAATGAGATAGAACAAAATGTCTGCCGGGCCTCGGTCCCCTCTTCTCTCAGTCTGGTGCTCCTTCCTAGCTGCTCTGTTTTTGCTGGCTTGTCAATCATGACCACAATCTCTGGTTTCCACTTGAAGCTTTAGAACCATCTTCTGACTCCTGTTCTCAGCATGAATAACTCTCCGCAGGTCTGCCTGGCCCTCCGTCGCCATTACTGTGTTAGGTTACTTTGGCAACAGCATAGGGGAGGGACTGGGAACTGGTCTTCTGAACTCAAGAGATGGAGGAGACTTGAACGTACCCATTGTGACAGTCCTTCCTAGGAGTTTGGTTAGAATTGTTAGAGCATTAAGAACGAACCTCACAGATCCTGCCATCCTTCTCCCCTGCTTTTGGCTTCGGTAGGTCTGAGGCAACCCCTGGGCTCCATATGCCCATGTGCCCATACTTGTGTGGTGCATCCCAGCTTGAAAACTGCTCAATTCTAGCACATTTATTTTAAAGCCGAGGAAACTGAGGAAGTGATCCAATGATCGGGACCAGGACTAAGAGCAGATCTGGCATCTGGTCCAGTGATACTCAGATCTCTTATTTTTCCTTCTGGTAAAGAAGATTTCCTGTTTCACTTTGTGTCCAAAAAGGCATGCTACACTGTTTCAGGCCAGCAGAGAAGAGGCCCTTCAGACTGAGTGAACAGCTCTCACTCAGGAAGGAGCTCTTTCTAATGGTGCTTGCTTTCTGACTTAGTTAGGGCTGCTACTGCTGTGATGAACCTTGGGGAGGAAAGGGTTTATTGGTTTATAGACACAGGGTCGCAGCCCATTGAGGAAGCCCAGGCAGGAACTCAAACAGGGCAGGAACCCAGAGGCAGGTGCTGATGCAGAGGCCACGGAGGGGTGCTGCTTACTGGCTTGCTTCCCCTGGCTTGCTCTGTCTGCTTTCTTAAAGAACCCAGGACCACCAGGTCAGGGTTGGACTGCTGTCCCCTCCCACATCAATCACTGATTAAGAAAATGCTCTCCAGGCTTGCCTACAGCCCCGTGGTATGGAGGCACTGTTGCCAGTCGGGGCTCCCTCCTCTCAGATGACTGCAGCGTGTGTCAGGTTGACCGACAACGAGCCGGCATATAACTCTCTGTACAAGTCTCCCTTGTCAGGACCAGGCAAAACGTCCCAGGAACCTCAAGTGGTAGGAAGTGAGGAAGTGCTGTGGATAAAGCACAGGGCAGCCCAGACCGGATTTCTGTCTGGCAGGATTGGCTGTCTGGGCTTCTGACAGTCTGAACACGGTGTTGACTTTAGTTGCTCACTGACCCTCCTCGGTTGCTGGCTGTCTTTAGCCACCTGGTTCTCATCCTGGGAATCCATGTTTTGTTTTGTTTTTTCCTGGCTTCTGACTTTGACCAATCACTCTGCTTTGAATTGGTTAGCACCAACTCTGCATAATCTCATGGAACCCGAGGCCTCTGGATGCCTCCTTCTACATGTGTCAGGCTGACCCAAGGCATCAGTTGGAAAAGCAATGTCTTTCCAAAGCCTCCGCTTTTCTATAAAGATAGTATCTTGGCCCAAATGTACCTTACGGCAGAAAAGTCAACAGCAGGAGAGCTGGTGTAGAAGAGCCATCTTTCCATCAGGGGGAGCCAAGCTTTTTCCTGAATCCTCTGGATCCAGACCTGGAAATGAAGTCTGAGCACCCCTGGCGGTGCTGATGCGCACCTTTGATCCCAGCACTTGGGAGGGGGAGGCAGAGGCAACTCTGTGAGTTCGAGGCCGGTCTGGTCTACAAAGTGAGTTCCAAGACAGTCTGAGCACCTCTCCCTGGCTTAAACAGGAACAGTATGGCCAGAGCTGGCCTTTGGAAATGAACTCTAGGAGCCAGGGAAGAAGGATTAGAGGAAGCGGGGCTGTGTGGTGGGAGGTCAGTTTGCAGAAGTCACTGCTGCCAGCTGGGGAAGAGATGATGAGACATCAATCATACAGGGGGACCAGGGGATGAAGAGCCAGGAACAGGCTGGAAAGGAGCCATTTTGGCCAGAAAATGGCAGGACTATGGGAGGTGATGAGGAAGTTAAAGATGCCTGGGCTGGGAGCTTGAGGACCTGTGGAGATGGTTCTGTGACTAGAACGTGGGAAATAAGAAGGGCTGTTCTGAAAGGAGTGTGACATTAGGTTCGTACATGAGGGATGCAGGCATCCAAGTATGTTTCCGTAATGATGGATTCTGTAACTCTGAACTGCAGGTACTAATGTGGGGTTTCAGAAGGGAGAACGTGTGAGGGGACCAGGGGACCATATAGAGTGGGAAGAGAGGGGAACCGAGGACCAAGCTTAGAAGAGTTTCTACATTTAAGTATCGAACAAGGAAGGAACCTGAGAAGGAGGTAGGGTGTGTGTATACGTGTGAAATAAAGTACGCTTTTGCCCCAGCCAAAGGAGGGGATTTCATGACAGGATGCGGAGAGAGCGGATGAGACGAGGGCTGCCCGGAGCTGTTATTTCAACACCCACTAGAGACTTTTTGGTCACGGTAGGCCTCATTTCAGTCACAACAAGCTGTTGTGGTCCCCAAGAAAAAGCACCGGCCCTTTCTAAATGAAGCGCTTAGGCAGGTTTCTGACCAGCTCACATAGGTGTTATCATCACTTTATAAAGCTCCACGTCGCTCAGAATTTCCAAATTCTTGCAGCGCGCAGCCTCTCTGGATCCAGGGCTAGAAACGGCCAAGACTGGCGGGCGGGCGGGCCGGAGACCGGATCTATAAAGAATCACATTAAACATTAATGAGCAGTCCTGGGCTAAGAAGCCCGGGGTTCAGGGAGAAGCGGCCCGGAGCCGGCGAGGTCCTCGCCCCCTCATGAATATGCAGATAGGCGGCCCGCCGCGCCCCGCCCCGCCCTCCACTCCTCTCCCGGCGCAACGGACTCTCCCTGCGAACGGGAAACAAGATGGCGGCGGCAGGTCCGAGCACTCGGGCTTCTTCCGCGGCAGCCGCAGCGGCTCTGAGTCGGCGGGGCCGGCGGGGCCGCTGTGACGAGATGGCGGCCGCGAAGAGCAGGGTTCCGGGCCCGGCCTCTAGCCCCGCGTTGTTAGTGTTGCCGCGGCCGCCGCGGCCGGAGGAGTCGGGCTGCGCCGGCTGCCTGGAGGAGACCCCCGGGGAAGTGGCGGCC